CATTCAAAAGTCTCAAAGTCTATAAAGTAGCATACAACCTTTGCCTTTTTCCAAATGTTCTTGCACAAGTTGGGATGAGGTGCTGCCTCAGTGTGGTTGTTCTTTTTCTAGTTGCTACTGAGCTCCTGGCAAAGCTCCAAGCTCCAGGCAGGACTCCCACCAGGATACGCTGCTCACCATAACATGTGGTCCTGGTAGTTGAATGATTGGGCCAATCTCCAGACGTCGCCTCCGCTTCCCCATCTGTATGCCATTTGCTTATCACCTTTCCTCCTACACAAACTTTCCCACTCTGTGTTAGCATTCATTTTTGTACGTTAAGAGCCTGGGTGGGGTGAGGCTGCCTCTGGACATTGGCACATCCTTGAAAATGCCAGGGTGTGGCTCAGTTATCACAGGCAGCTGGAACACAGGCTTAGATGCTTGTGAGTAAAGTTGTGAATTAATGAATGAATGTATGAGGGAAATGGGGTAAGAAACATTTCTGCCTGGCTGCAGCTATTTTTCCCAACTTCACTCCCTCACAATGGCTTATTGTAAATTTATCCCCCAGTTTGTATTCATGCTAGGCTTGCATGAAACCTGAGGGAGCTCAAGCAGAGAATTTTAGATCTTGATTTACAAAAAGAACCAACACTTCTTATCTTTGTACAATAAGTTCACACACTCTTTTTACAATTCCCAAATATCTGTACACTAAGTCCCATCTCACAGGAGGGCTTTCATATTGGCACATCTGGATGCTCTCCCCTCAGTGGTATTGAGGAGATGCAATGGTATTCCTTCTGAAAAGAGTTCATATAGTTGCTCAGACATTGAAATTAAGGAAGTAGCACATGTGCTTCTGAAATGTCCTATATGCCACTTTTGGAGGGCAGACATAATCTCCCCTCTAATTATAAACTCTTCGGATTGTTCCCATGTGCTACCTAGTAAGCAACTAGGAGTGGAAAGTTCTAGAACTGTTGCCAAATTTTGTACAATCGCTATGACAATTATAAGTTTTTGGACCTGATTTCTTCCCCAATGATCTCTTGTGCAGGCACGAATAAGCTTTTATTTGATACTGTGTAATATATGTTTTCCACCTCTGTATGTTTGGTCTATGAATATATATTTTAATAAACTAAACTATGTTACTGCAGATGTTTTACTGATCTATTATCAAGGCTGAGTTAAAATATTACCTTTTTTTGTTAACAATTTTGGCAACATCAAAAACTTAATTTTAGCAGTTTTCAATCAATTAATTCATGCAATTATTTAATATCCTGCTTTTCAGAATAATTTCCCAACCAAAGTGGCTTAAGAGCTAATAAATATTTGTAAACCAAAATACAACAAATATTATGTAAAAGCAAACAAAATGTTATGATCCTTCTCACGGAGCAGTGCCCTGGGATTCAGGGGAAAGGAGAATCCAGCTGAATTACTCTCCTTTCTTCCTCTCACTTCAGATTCCTTCTGTTGCAAATCTGGATTAATTTATTAATCCTACATCCTTTTATTATAGGCACTAAATTATGAGTAGCTATTTTAATGTCTGAATGGAAGAATCGGTAAAATGTTTGAATTCAGATGAAGCAAGGCCAGAGTGAAACTGGAAAAAGGCTGAAGGCACATAAAGGCAGAGATAGCAGACAAGGATTGAGAAAATACTGCTCTAAGACTGGGGTTTTCAAACTTTTTCAGGCCATGGAACCTGTGAAAAAAAATCCTGGAACCCCATTGAAGAGGTAAAGGAATAGTGATAGAAAATTGGTAATCAAAAAGCAAACTCTTTATTTTAAATGCAAAACAAACATTTCCAATGTACAAAAACTAAGACTTGAATTTCATAATTATTTGGGAGGTTAATGTTTTCATCAAAAAAAAAAAAGCCAAAGCTTCAGCATTTTTCTTGTTGTTACACAGTAACATACAAAATGCCATCTTCTTCTCATGGAGTTTTGCACTTTTTTATTTTTACTGAAATATTCAGGACTTTGCCTTTTAAATGAAGATGTTTCGTTTCTGTATGCCCTCATAATATTACAGGATTAATATTATTGTTACCCAATATTTATTCATGTTCAATACACAGTCCATTTGGTTCATATTTCCCACCAGTCCATGTAAAACCCCAGGTGATAAAGCTCTGATCGTATTTCCATTTCTTACTTGTGTTTGAGCTTAATTTCTCAAAATTTGGGCAGTAGAAGTACCAGCAGCACTGAAATTTGTTTAGCTTTTTTTCTTTTTCTGTACCATCTGCATTGTATCAGTTTATACTCAATGATCCATATCTGGAAAATATTGATTAGGCCTAACCAAAAAACAAAATAAAAATAATGTGCACATACTGAGGAGGTGTACATCTGGGATGGGTATCAATGGCATTGATTTTTTCCGTTGTCTAGCTGAAGCCACTTAGTATGGCTTACTTAGTATGAAGCCACTCATCTTCCTTCTGCCTGCCTTTGCAATCATGATTCTCATGTATTCCATAGGAGTCCCATTCCAATG